CTTAAAAGAAATCTGATGTTGGTCGCATGTGTATTAAAATGATACAAGCTCGCCAATTTGCAATGCTATTATTGAACCCTAAAGTAAGTACCTTCCTAGACCGGTTTAGTCTACCGCTCAGTTGTATTCGTAACGTCCTACTGATTGAGTGTGTTTACATCATCGAGCAATAAGACAAAAGAGGGAATCTAATCCTTATGAAAAGGAGACCAAAAAAGTGGCCTCTGATGGCGGACATATCCGGAAATGCGAATGCGCGAAATTTAAATTTTCCGACACTTATCAACAGTAGCTATATAATATTTTTCAGAATGTGTCTTAGACGAGAAAGTTTTAATTAATTATTAATGATAAGAGTCTAAAATGCGACACAATTGTTAAAAAACATCAATATAAATAAGATTTCATGTGACATTTGGGACAAACAATAACATAACCAACTAAATTTGATGTCAAACAAGGAGAGAGACTCTCTTTCCTTGTTTAATGTGCCTCTAAAGATCGCACTTCCTGTCTAACAATATGTTTGCCCCACTACCTTTACATTCGCTCTATTGTCTTTTTGCTCGATGGTTTACATACAAGGGTATTATATCATATTGATACATTGCGACATAACGCGTAAGTGTTGTTTTACTTTTGTCGTATTTTAGGCTATTTTCGGCCTACTTATTATAGGTGAGTGTTATTTTATATTTTTATTTTCAGTATAATGGCTGCAAAGCGGATTTACAACCTAAATAATCCGAATTATTATTATTATTTATTTATTAACGGGATACCACCCAATTTAATATATACACAAAGTATTACAAGTATTATCTAGTGATACAATAATTAAAAGAATTGGCGATACAGCTATATAGAAAAAAAAACAAATATTTAAATTATATAAAGCACATAGCAAATATAAATCACATAAAATTACAAAATTTTTTTTAAACACATCCTACAGACATTTTCCGAAGCGCACGGCAACAAATCAAAGTCTATTCTATTTCCATTTAGAATGAATCTACTCAGTGGAGAATGCCTACCAAAGTTAGAGTGATGAATTTAATTGCAAAATTTTGAGATGTTCTAGTAACTCTAGAGGGAACATTAAAGTCAATTAGAGACAGTAGATCATTACATTTAATTTTTGAATTCAGTAGTTTATGAAGAAACAAAACCATCAGCATACATCCGTCTGGAAGATAGCCTAGGAAGGTTTAATGTATTTCTAATTTCTGAGTAGGAATGGTCGCTTAAAGGTTTGTGTAATTTAAAACTTAAGTACCTAATGAATTTATTTTGGACTTTTTCAAGCTTGGCTATATGGACTTCATAAGGGGTGACCAAACGACTGGCAATACTCAAGAACAAGATCTAACTAGGGAAATGTAAATCAGTCTGATGGAATTAATGTTATGCAAACATCTAGAGGTTCTAATAATGAAGCCTAACATTTTAAATGCCTGGTTATTCACATAATCAAAATGAGCGCAAAAATTTAGTTTGGAATCTAATTGAACACCTAGATCTCTTACAGTTGAGACAGCCTTCAGTGGTTTCTTCAGCTAATTTGTAATTATAAGAGAGGTTGTTAATTCTTCTACAGAAACTAATAAAGTGACATTTTTCCAAAATTAATGCTCATTTGGTTCCAATTGCACCATGCCATAATTTTGTTAATATCAATTTGGAGTTTTTCACAATCTGAGATGTCTTCGATAATTCTATAGATTTTTTAAATCATCAGCAAATAGCAAAATTTTAGAGTTAATTTGAGATTTAATGTCATTAACAAGTATATTTAAAAAAGGCCCTAAGTGGCTTCCTTGTGGAACACCAGATGTTACGGAGATCCCACTAGATTGAAAGTGTTTAATTTTAACAAGTTGTATTCTGCTAGTTAGGTTAACTACATAACCAGTTATACAGATTGCCTGTAAATCCAATAGTTTTAGCTTGTTACACAACAATTTATGATTCACAGTGTCAAATGCTTTGGAGAAATCTGTATAAATAGCATCCACCTGTAGTCTCCTTTCCAAAGCATCAGATATGTATTGCGTGAAAAGTAAAAGATTTGTCGAACTTGATCTACCTGAAAGAAAACCATGTTGCTCTTCAATTAGTACATTGCATAAAGGTGTTTTAATGGAGTCACATATTATACTCTCTAGTATTTTAGGAATAGAAGAAAGAATGCTTATTGGTCTGTAGTTAGCTATGTTACTTGGACAAATACCTGAATCAAGTGAATGAGAAAACAGAAAATATAAGGGATGGGTTAAAGTACATCTACATTTTTTTAATAGTATGGGTGGAATTCCATCTGGCCCAGAGCCCTTATAAATGTCTAAATTGGCTAATTTTTCAAATATTATTTCAATAGATACATTACAAGAATTTAGACTCACTGTTTTCTCATACTCTAAGATGGGCTGTATTAAATCATCATCATTTGCTCTGTAAATATTTTGAAAGCATTGCACAAAGCTATTAACGATATCCGCACCATTATTAAGCATTGTGTTTCCAAAAAACATTGTGTTTGGTAGACCATTATTTTTGCGTTTGCTGTTAACAAAATTCCAAAAGTGCTTTACGTTTGAACTAATTCTAGATTCAGTTTGACTTATATAAATTTGCTGATACACTGATACATATAGCTGTAAAATATTTGACAAGCCTCATTAATATTATTCCAATGGTATAATGCATCCCAATTAACTGAAGACAGATAAAGGTTAACAGAATTAAAATTACAGTTTTTGAAATCATAAACATAGTTAGTCTTCATAAAAAACAACTCTTTAAAAAGCCAATAGGGATAAATAGTATATTACATAACGAGAGTTGTAAGAAGCTTATTACATGCGAGTAAAAAAGTTGCGCGCGAGCCGCGTAGCGGCGAGCGCAGTAATTTTACAAGCATGTTACTAAGCTTACAACTCAAGTTGTTGTACTATACTTTTTCTACCATTATTTTTGTTTATAAAAATAAAAATTAAATTACCACTATATTTACACTGACAGATTAATAATTTTTAACCTGTCAAAACAACGCTGTTAATTCGTTTCCATGGCAACTCGACCAACTGACTTACAAGGCGTATATGATATTACACATTTTTATAGAACTGAAGCGTAATTTTTTTTATTACGTGCTAGTCATTACGTGTCAGTATCTGTTATGATGCATTTACTTAGCATCCAAATAGTAGGTAATATACAATTTACTAGTAAGAGGGTAGAAAAAAATTATTATGGCTTATGCCCTGAATGATTCACAAAACAATGGATCGACCGGTGTTACGCACATTTAGATCAGGTATATGTGGAAAACATAAGATCCAGGAATGTTCCATGTCTGTTTGGTATATTGTTGCACTGGCTAATAAAGTTCTAGTGTATAACTGCACTTGTGTATCATCACAGACTCCTGCGTAGTCAATGCTATTAAAACAATAACTCGTTAATCCTATTTAATTTCGAAAATATTCAAAAATTGAGAAATATCTAAGCACCTTAAATAGAAATGTTAAATGTCAAAATAAAACTTACCCAAAATTCGGCCAATTCAGTCAAATGTGAAATATTGTCAATCGACTTGATCTTATTTTGGGCCAAATCTAATGTTTCTAATTTTGTATTTGCATCAAGATTTTCTATTTTTTCAATACCATTTTCAGATAAATAAAGTTCAGACAACTCTTTTAAATTTTCCAAATTTTCTATAGCAGTTAGTCGATTGCTCTGAAGACTTAAGCATGTCAAGTTCTTGAGGTTGTCCAGGTTTTTAATTTTAGTAATTTTATTTTTGCCAAGATATAGCTGCCGAAGCGAAGTCAATTCATCAAGATTTTCAATGTCCTACAAATAAATTGTTTAAAAAGAAAATGTAATAATAGAAATTAAAAACTATACCAAAATTTGACTACATGTATATGACTGTTTGATGATTTTTGAATGACTTTTTCCTCGAAAATATAATAGAAATAAGTAATTATAAGTATGAATTAAATGTACGCTCTTGCAAGAGTAAACTTCTCATAAAAACTGGTAATCACGCTAAAAAAAACTTTTAGTAAGCAAAAAATTTCGAAAAAATAGTATTTTTCGCACTTAATTTGTTAGTAATTAAAAAACACATTGGTATTAACGAAAAAAGTGGTTAAATGCCTGGATATTGAGAATTGCTGTCTCCGAATGAATGTGAGCCCAATATTGCATTGCATTGGGTATACATATTACTGCCTTCTCCTGAGCGTAGTATTAGGAACGGAATCTACACTGATTTATTACCACGTTTAACTTGATATGTAAAAAATAATTTATGTGAGAACAAATACTTACTCTTATTTTGTTATCTCCTAACTCCAGCAAATCCAAACTTGAAATGTTACTTAAATTTTCAATTTTTGTGATCTTATTTGAAGAAAGAAAGAGTTTCTTCAACTTGGCCAAGTTTTCTAATCCCTCTATGGCTTTTATCCTGTTGAAGGATAAATCGAGAATTCTGAAAATGCAAAATTTAATATTTTACTCAAATATGTATGAACAGTATTAAAAATGAGTTCTTCTTCTTACGGTGCCCTATCCAATTAGTGGATGTTGGCGACGAGTCTGGCATACTCCTCTCGATCTTGTGTGGCTCTAAAGAGTGCATGGGCATCAAGGTTTGTCACAATCGCTGCTGCTCGTTTTTTTAAAGATTTATGAGAAAAAGCATATTAAATAAAGTAGAAAGTACATATATAGTATTATAAATAGAAACTAAGTATTACCCAATTAAAATCTCATTAGGTAGTATCAACAACATTATAAATTATTACAGTTCACATTATATTTACTACCTGCCTTGTTATTGCCTACATACTGAATCTACTTGTAACTTTCATAAATTTCAGATTTACTTAATGAATAAAACACTTTAATTCAAATTAACACTTTAAAATAAAATTAGTAGGGAAAACCATACAAACTTATACAGGGTAACAAAAATGTATGGAAACCAACAAATATATATTTATGAAATTCTAGTGGGGTATTTCTTCAGTGAGATTCTTATCTCCCTTTATCTCACTAGGAGATATGTCGAAGCTAACTACAATAAAGATGCATTCTATTTATAAAGAGAGTTCCAGAAGAGTTGGTAGGAAAAGTTGTCCATATCTCTTTTAAGTTACTGGCGTGAAATGCTACTGAAAAATTTAAAGAATCAAATGTGAGGCAATATTATTTTGATTTTCTTAATAAACATTATGTCATTTGAACCTAATACAATTAGTAGATCATGTTACATTTATGTGGCACCCTCCCCAATTTCTTGCTGTACCTTCTGCGCTACCACAGGAACACTTTTTTAATATCTATTTTAGTTTAACAAATAGCGAGCATAAATATCGAGGGCATCACTACAGCCAAACAAGACATTTTATCAGAATTCTGCATGAACACGAAATGTGAGGTATTGTGCATCCAGGAAACCCACAGAGACCTAACTGCAGCGAGACCGAAAGTCTCTGGTATGAAACTGATTGCGGAGATACCACACAATAAGCATGGGAGCGCGGTATTTGTGAGAACTCAAACCATAGTCTCATCTGTGGAAACAACAAATGTACACGGTATAGAGATAATAACCAGTGAGATCGGAAAATGCACAATAACCTCGGTATACAAGCCCCCAAACCAGCCTTTTATATTTTCACCCCCAACTAATTTTCAATCACAAGCCAATCAGCTTGTACTGGGAGACTTTAACAGTCACAGTTTACTCTGGGGCTATGCAAATTCGGACGCAAATGGACGCAGTAGAAGCATGGGCCGAAACGAGTGGCCTCACGTTAATCCATGATCCTAAACTTCCACCATCTTTTCGTAGCAAAGTTTAGAAAAGAGGATATAACCCGGATATCTGTTTTTCAAGCAACAACCTCGAAGACCGATGCACCAAAGTAGTATATGGCCCCATACCAAAAACTCAGCATAGACCAATTGGTATAAATATCTTCCAATTGTCAGACCACAAGCTATTCCATTCAGAAGGAGATTTAACTTCAAAAAGGCAAACTGGCAAAAGTATGCAGACATGCTAGATTTTGAACTACTACGCCTTGAACCAAAAGTAGAGAACTACGAAAAATTCGTAGAGGTACTCAAAAATGTGTCTAGAAAAACTATCCCTAGAGGATGTAGACAACAATACGTTCCCGGGATGTCCAGCGAGTCCAAAGAACTAATGAGTACATACGAAACCCTCTATTCCACTGACCCTTTTAGCCAAGAAACGGTTGACTGCGGAGCAGTACTACTCCAACAGCTAAGTCAAGCCAGACAGGAAAAGTGGATTGAGACCCTGGAAAAAATGGACATGACACATAGTAGCAAAATAGCATGGAACCTTGTAAAAAAACTCAGCGGTGATCCAAAAGAACATAAACCACCTTGCAAGGTTACAGCAAACCAAGTCGCTACTCAACTCCTTACGAATGGAAGAACTACGAACCGATATAAGGACCCAAACACTAGGAGAAGATTGGATTCGGAGACAAACCACCTAGGAACTCCTTTTACTCTAAAAGAACTTCACGACGGTCTGAACAGGTTAAAAAACGGGAAAGCTGCAGGTGTGGATGATATATGCAGTGAACAAATAAAGCATTTAGGCCAAGGAGCAAAAAACTGGATCTTGCAATTTTATAACACGTGCTGCAAAACCTGCAAAATTCCAAAATCATGGAGGAAATCTAAAGTAATAGCCTTGTTAAAACCAGGAAAGGATCCAGAAGACCCCAGTAGCTACAGACCTATTTCGCTATTGTGTCACTTTTTTAAACTATACGAGAGACTCATACTCGCCAGAATAGAAAAAAATGTCGACAAGCACCTCATCCCACAACAAGGAGGATTCAGACCTGGCAAATCTTGCACCGGTCAAGTCCTCGCATTAACAGAACACATTGAAGAGGGTTTTGAAGAAAAACTTATAACAGGGGCTGCTTTTGTAGATCTGACAGCAGCCTATGACACAGTAAGGCACAAAACATTGCTCCGCAAATTATACGATACTCTCAATGACCACCATCTGGGAAAGGTCGTATATTCCTTACTGCAAAATAGACGTTTTTTCGTTATGCTGGAGGGTAAAGTAAGTAGGTGGAGAGTTCAAAAAAACGGCCTCCCACAGGGAAGTGTTTTAGCACCAATGCTCTTCAATATATACACAAACGATCAACCTACTCCGACCGAAACCAAGCACTTCCTCTATGCTGACGATCTTGCAATATGTGCTCAAGGAAATAGTTTTAAAGAAGTGGAGGAGAAACTCGAAACTGTCTTAAAAACAATGACAGCGTACTACCTGCAGAATTCTCTGAGACCCAATCCCTCTAAAACCCAAGTCTGCGCTTTCCACCTTCGCACAAAGGAAGCCAAGCGAAAACTCCAAATTGTGTGGAATGGTAATACATTAGAACACACAAACCAACCTATATATCTTGGAGTAACTCTGGACCGGTCCCTCACCTACAGACAACATTGCATAAAAACAAGAGGGAAAGTAACAACTAGGAACAGCATACTCAGAAAGCTAACGGGAAGTAAATGGGGCGCACATCCTGGCGTTTTAAGAACAACGGCACAGGCACTGTGTTTCTCAACTGCTGAATATGCATGCCCCGTTTGGAGCAGATCTGTCCACACCAAACAAGTTGATACTGCGCTAAATGAGACATGCAGGATAGTAACAGGGTGCATGAAACCAACGCCACTTTCAAATCTATATAGAGCAGCGGGTTTTGCAGAACCCTCAACACGCAGAGGCGCTGCAGAACACATAGAGAAAATTAAACAGATCGCGGACGATCGGCATGCCCTGTACAAAACTCGAACACCACGAAAGCGACTAAAATCTAGGAAAAGCTTCCTTGGAACAGTGAAGATGAACCGCCTGAGTATTTTCCACTTCCCCAGGTTCAATGGGCCGGCCAGACCCTAGACTTTAAAACGTGGAAAACCTTAAATAGGATAAGAACAGGGGTTGCTACAGTAAAATCAAACATGGCAAAATGGGGAAAAATAAACCAAGATGATGTGAACTGTGACTGTGGAGAAACACAGAATATGGAACATCTTCTTACATGCAGAAACTGTCCTCATCGATGTACCCTTGAAGATTTGTGGCTCGCCAACAAAGATGGAACCGACGTAGCCCGATACTGGGCCGAAATTTTATGAATGACATGTCCGGACACGATAAAGTAAAGTAAGTAGTTTAACAAATTGTAGGAAAAACAATTTTTAAATATTAAAGAGAAAGATGAGTCACTAACCTTTAACTAATGGAAATACCATTTAAGATTTTGCAAAAACTGATGCAATATCAACTAACTCGTAACAAATATCATGTTAATAATTTCTATTAATTATTACACAAAAAACTACTTACTCCAAGTTTACTAAACATCCCAAATTCTCAATTTTTGTGATTTGATTGTCATACAACTCCAGCTCAATTAGAGTTGTAAGGGTATCCAGGTTTTCAATCTTTGTAATTAGATTCCATCTTAAATACAGCCTTTCAATGCATGTAAGTGGTTCAAAGTTTTGAAGTTTATCAACCCTGCCATGATTTAAGTCTAATTCTAAACAGTCTGGGTCAATTATTGTTATATCATTCACCGTTGGACCTCTATTACCTTCATTGTGATCTCCATCTGCTGCATTGTTTGAAGTGGTAGCTGAAACAAAATCCAAATAATCGATGAGTGTTATTGAAGTTTAGTACACATTCCACAATATTTTATCTTCCTACTACAATCTACTCCATAGAATATAACATGCTTTCTTATTATAGCTACTACCTTGATTCCCTTCTGGTTGGTTTACATTTGTTTCTTCTTGACTAGGTACAGGCATAATTATAAAATAAGTTGTTTATCTTGATACCTGATTTTTTTTACTTTTGATTGTATAACAGCATTTGATCACTCATACCCTGAACTTGAATATTCTGTCAATTTAATTAAAAATTCAATCCAATAAATTTCTACTTTATTAATCTGCATAAACGATTTTCGTAAATACAGATTGACTGACACAGATGAACTTGTTACAATTAGAATCGATAAATCGAATACACACCCTGGTTCATGAAATCGAGAATTACTATTCGTTTATGTATATATTCAATTCAATCGTTTTATAATCAGTAGGAGTACTGAGTAGTAGTATAATATACCACCGTAATTGACCGTAACTATATTCTTTGGTAGTATGTAGGATAGAGAGGAAGTAGTGCAAATATATAAATAAATATCTATATAATAAAATATTGAAAAATGGTAAGAATGGTAAATGTAATGATAAGAATGGAAAAAATATTTCGATTTATGGAAGTATAATCGAGTAGGTAGGAACAAAGAAATAAGTACATTTCTTTTTCTTGGCCTCTGGCTAATCGTTGCTTGGCCAGAAATCAGGAAATAAGAAGAAAAAAGAATAAGACTTCTTGTGATTGTGATGATTTACTGTTAATTTAAGGTTAATTCTTTTATATGGGTGGCTATCTACTATTCTGATTAAAGAAAAAAATGGAAAAAACTCGTTCTGTTATTGTTAAAAATTATGGAGGATATGATTCCTTATCGGTAAGTTGCTTTTAAAAATATATTTGTAGATGATTTATATATTTTACATACAGTAACACAAATTCCCACGTCGACTATACAATTAAGTAAAAAATAGTGAAAGTTTTTTTTTAAAACACTAGTTGCACTCGAAACATCAAATGGAGAATAGCAGTGGCACTTTTGTTCCGACTATATCCTGTGTTTTATTTAGCATTTCCTGTATTTTTATCAACAAAAGCTTTTGTTTCATTGACAGTATCATAAAAATTGTTCACATTATCATTATCATTCCAAAGATGAACACTGATAGTGCTACATTAGCTATCATAACTCGATTTCACCGGTTTTGTAGTTAGGTCACTATAGCTCTAAGTTATTGAATAGTTTCTAATATCTAAACTTTAGCAATTATATCTTGTTTTGTGTTAAAAGATATTTCGTCAAAAAATGAATGTTTCATACAGCACCTTTGGTATTTGTGTACTAAGCGAAAACAAATTTTTAAGAAGTAACTGTTTTAGATTGAACCATTTGATTTATGTCCATTAGATGGAAATATAGAAGTTAAAGTTGAATATGGAGGCCTGAATTTTGCTGATATATATACAAGAAGAGGATTGGTTGCTGACAAAGAACTGCCTTTTGTTTTGGGCATTGAATGTACAGGAGTGATAACTGCTATAGGAGAAGATGTAAAAGACACAGGTTTTGAGGTTGGTTAATAATAATTATATGTTAAATTTATTCAGAATGATGATTGATGTATGTATTTATTTTAAAAATATATATGATTATAAGAAAAGCCAAATGCTTTTAAAAGTAGTTGTAAATATATCAAATATTAGAATGTGTACAATAAATACTAGGAAGTTATATGCGACATTAAATTAGTTTAAATATTGATAGATATTCAACATTATATCAATCTAGAATGTAATTGAATTCTATAATATATTTTTTCCAAGTCTACTTCAGTCAACATTTGATAAAATAAATAACAATTATTATAAATCATACAAAATCCCATTATGTTTTTATTTCATTTTGGATCAGTCTCCCATTACACATATAATCTAGGAGCTTCTTCCCAAATCAGTTGGCCCCATGTTGAAATTTTAAAAAATTTGTTGTTAAAGAGCTAAAATAAAAGTATTATGTTTAGGAATATGTTATCAAAAATCAATGTTTTTATTTTAAACACAAATTCCTGATTAAAATCTCTCTAGGTTTCACTTGTTGATATTGATACTACTCTCAAATTACAAGTAGTGCCAATTGGCGACGTGCAAGTACTTGGAGGGGATACGAGAAACGATCGTGCGTGAGTAGTGGAGAAATCTTGCATCTTTTACTGCACATTTCATAGATTATAGATTTCATAAATTCATATTGTCAATTGTCATATTTCATATTCGTTTTGTTTATTTACACCTTCTGTCACTGAAGAAAATGGTGTTTAGAAAATGCTGTGTTATAAATTGTGTTATAAATTATAAAAAATACAACAAAAAATTGTCAATTTAAGTTTTATTCGTTTCCAACTTCGAAGCACAAAGTTATTACAAAGAGAAAAGTGGATTTATATCATAAAAAAGCATAAGTAACATAACCTAAATTATGCATTATTCTTGCGCCCGATTTTACAGTCAGTTTGAAATAAATAATAAATAAAAGTTCACTTTTAAGTGTAAATTTTAGTTTCATAACACTTACTTAGAGTTCATTTTAACTCAAAAATCAAGTTTAATGTTTGAATTTTATTTTTTTGAAGTTTACAAAAATGCAAGTTCAAGTTTTTCTGAAGATGTTTTAAGATATATTCGCTGTCCAAAAGTTTACAGGGAAAGAATTAATTGTTCAAACCAATATGATGATATCATGGGCTTAACCTGCTAATTTATGCATTAGTATTATTTATGGTAATTTATTTTTCTTAATTCTTCCACTCCACATCATTCTTCCATTCTTTTTTGACATTTGCCACTACTAAAGCTTTTCCCTTTGACTTGTGCTTGGTTGAAAAGTTATTTGGTGATTTATTTTCTCAAATCCAGTTTTTATTATTGCATCCATATTAACAGTAATGCTGTAATTAAATAATATATTTATTTGTATTTACGCTACATCGTTTACCTTTTAACAGTGTTGCCAATGCAAAACTAGAAATTATCCGAATGTTGGGAGCAAAATATCCGAAATTATCCGAATTCATAAAAATAAAAAAAAAGACTAATTAAATGGAATAATTGACATTGACAGAGACACATTGACAGATGACAATTAATATGACAAATGATGGCAAGAAAACTAGTTTAGTTTGATAGAAATATATTTATTTAAATAAAAAACAACAAATAATACATAAATACAGCAAGTTAACAAATTATTAACTCATAAAACCTATATTAAAAATACTTATTGTTTACATACATAATCGGCAAAATTATAGAGAAAGTGCCACAGGGGAATTACTTGACTACTTCAACCTTTTAGACTTTGATTAAAATGAAATTTAATTTTTGTTTTGTCAATTTCAAAGATCCCTGGATTTTTGTACAGTCGACCAAAACTATACTATTTATCAACAGATGGCGCTGAAATAATTCATAGGTTCCATCATCTTCGATTAAATGAGAATAGAATTTGCTAGCTATTTAAGCTTATAAAAATTTAAATTATACTTAAAAATAAAAAGTCGGCAGACCCTTGAATTATCCGAAATTATCCAAAAAATTGTTCAATCCGAAAATTATCGGATGGTCCACTAATTTATCCGAAAATCGGATAATTATCCGGACATTGGCAACACAGCCTTTTAATAACATAACGACATAACCTCAATCTTACTTTTTCTTCTTATTCTTTTTTGGGGCCACGTCCTTGACAGTTATTCGGTAACCTGGATCTAAGCACAGTAAATTTGGCTGATTTACGACACCAGGTGTCGCTGTTTCGAACTTGCAGGGTCCCAATCATCGAGCAAAAAGATAAAAGAGGGAATCTAATCGTTATGAAAAGGAGACCAAAAAAGTGGCCTCTGATGGCGGACATATCCGGAAATGCAAAGGCGCTAAATTTAAATTTTCCAACACTTATTAACAATAGCTATAAAATATTTTTCAGACGAGAAAGTTTTAATTAAATATTAACTATAATAGTCTAAAAGTGACACAATTGGTAAAAGATTTCAATATAAATAAAATTTCATGTGACAGTTGGGACAAACAATAACATAACCTAACTAAATTTGACTTGTTAAACAAGGAAAGAGACTGTCTATCCTTGTCTAAAGTGGCCTCTCAAGATGGCACTTCCTGTCTATCAATATGTTTACCCCCACTACCTTTACATTCCCTCTTTTGTCTTATTGCTCGATGGTCCCCAATACATAAAATATACAACTCTCTCAATCATAGATGTGGCCAGGGTTTTAAGTGTGAGTTCAAATGCTGAAAATTGCGCCCCCTGCCATATATTTTTTAATTTCCAACAATGATATTTTCCTGTATAAAAAACAGTTTACAATTTTTTGAAATAATTCTTTAAATTTAAAATTATTCATTAGGCAGTAAAATTTTGAAACAAATTACATTTGTTTTTATATTAAATTATTAAGTGACAAGAAAAATTTGGATGGCCACAGTCACATATATAAAAAATATGTTAAAAAATCAGATTGATATTAAAAAAAAAATATTATGACAACACATTACAATACTATTAGTTTCTGGAATGGTATGATTTTTTTTAATTATACAATTACACTATCTTTATCTATATTTAGAGCAAGTTCTTTTTCAACAAAAGGTACTATTATTTATTTCAAACAGTCTTGTAGCAGTGTCAATCAAAATATCAATTTTCTGTTATGCTTAAACATGGAATCAAGCTAGTCAAGAGCTTTTAAAAGTGGATTTTTGTTTACTTTTTCTTGTTTTTATAAGTCTTACTTCATTTTCTAATTTTGAACAATTCAAATCAAAGTCTCCTCAGAGCGGTATAGCCACTACTCCAAATCGAAACAAAATCTATTCCCGTCATAGATTATAGTTATCAAAATAACTATATGCGGACATAACTACGCCATCTATGAACAAGAAGAGAAATCATATGGGAAATCGAATTCAAATTTTTACCACTGTGTTTTCTAAAACTTGCAAAGCAAACTGCTTAACAATTCACTGGGTTTCACGTAAGATTTCTTAAAAAAAAAGGTAAGAAAAAAAGTTGAAATGGGAAAATGATGATAATTCAAATATTTTTTATATAAGTTACATATGACTTCCTTCTAACATATATAATGTGGAATTAAAATTATTATTCCAGTACGATTAAAATCTTAAATTGATCGATATCTAATTTGTAGGTAGGTCAAAAGGTTATATGCTATGATTACCATGGAGGCATGTACAGAGATACCATAAGACTGAACCCTAATAATTGCTTTTTATTACCAGATTTTATTGATACCAAGTTGGGGGCAGCTATTTTCGTCAATTATTTGACAGCATATATTTCTTTGTTAAATTTAGGAAATCTAAGAGAAAATGAATCAGTACTTGTTTTGTCATGTACAGGTAAAGTTTGAATGATCAGTTTGGAAAATAGTTTAATTAACATCTCTAATTTGTTTAACAGAATATCGTAATTTCATTTTCATTCATTTTTTAACTGTTAAAGTAGTGTTGGTAGCAGCTTTTGCATGAAGCAGGGTATTCCATGTATTAAATTTTTTCACAGCTGCAGTTTACTTTTATGGGAAGTATTTGACTTCATGAGAATATTGTGTAATATATTTTTGACTTCTAAGTATACTTTTTTATTGCTCGGTTGTATTTACTTGATAGCAACTATAGTCCCCATAGACACTTTGTCTCAGGACTAGCAACCTCCAGTGGATCAAATAATTTAACTTAAATTCAATTTAACAACATTTAACGGATTTTTACCTACATATTTAGTGGCTCAAAACATGTACATCTAGATACACTGATGATGAAATATTAATTCCGGAAACGTTCTGTGATGTAGCCCAATAGGTGTTTTAAGTATATACCTTTTATAAAGGATTTTTAGGAAAAGGATACATGGTATACAGCCAGTTATAGAAACTTGTGGAAAAATGCAAAACTACCGAATAATTCCTCTATAGAAACATCAGGATAGTAATTTTTGATGAAAAAACTCTTTTCTCCAAAGATAATAACCATTTTTACTCGAAAATATTATCAACTCAATGACAAAAATCGGCAGAATTGATAATAAGCTTTTTGGCTTATCTGCTACTTCTGGACATAGTGTAGAGCTGTTGTTGATACAAAATATGTTCTCTCTCTCTATGTCAATGTGTGTGTATATTGTAGTTAAAAGTATAGCTCCTAATACCATTTTAATTTTGTATGGTGGCTTCTTCTACTTGAACACAGCTTTTTTGTATTTGTATTTAATCGATTAGAAATTTTAATCCTACTAACAACTCATTTCATATATATTTAAAAAATTCTGGTATAATTAAACCTTTTTATTTTAATACATTTGAAGGCCACGGGGAAAGAACTTGATAAGTACAATTTTTGACATTTCTCGTTTTTAATACCACTTTGTGGCTTTAATTACATGGTTACTAAGAGTAACACAATACAGAGTAATAACTCGATAGGTCAAAAGATATAAGTGTTTGAAAAAACCTTGTACAGGGAAAGAACTTGACATGTCCATTCCAAACAGCGAAAACATTGATAAGTCCACGTAAACCTAGTAGTTGGCAACAATGGCATGTGAGATGGAAAATTGGAATTATATTGTAAAATGTTTTTTATGACAATATTTTATTTGATACTTTTTGCATTAAACATATATTTGCTCTATTTCTGTTTCTATCTTACAAATTTATGCTCTGACATCGGATATGCTCCTTCATCATCTATGAAGAATTAAGGAATGCATCGAAATATATAAAAAAGGAAGAAGTCATTACAATCAAGCGAGACTGTAATGCCAAAATTGGAAAGAGTACAGTGGTAGGCATAATAGGAGAGTATGGATTGGGTATACGAAATGAAAGAGGCGAACTACTGATACAATTTTGTCAAGAAACATAATTTAATCATAAACAGCCAATTCAAACTACCAGCTAGAAGGCTATATACATGTAGGTCTTGCGCCGATAGCCCGCAACAAATAATTAGAAATCAAATAGATTAATTTCTAATAAATAAAAGGTTTCGTAATGCAGTTACTTCAATAAAAACCTATTCTGGAGCAGATATCAACTTCGACCATAACTTATTGCTTGCTGAACTGAGAGTAAGGATGTATTAGTAACAACGAGTAAGGATCAAAGATGTATTAGTAACAACAACAATAAACAACATCAAACAGGAGAGACAAATAAAAAACCATGACACATCAGATTTTAGAGCTTATGGGGCAAAGAAGAGCAAAGACGCAGAAAAGTACAAGGAACACCACAAAAAGGTACTTAAAGAAATAAAATTACCAAAAGAATCCTGGCTGTTAGAGAAATGCTTAGAAATAGAGATCCTACAGAAAAAATATGATATATTCAATATGCACAGGAAGATCAAAGAAGTGGCAGGAATATATAGAACAACAATGCCCACTGCACTGTTTGATAAAGATGAAAACATAATATTCAATACGCAAGAAAAACTGGACAGATGGCAGGAATATATAGCAGAAGTGTTTAGTGACAACTAACACATTGAAATATATAACAACATCGAGAATGGACCAACAATAACATCTGCTATAAGTTGTCTAAAAAACAACAAAACGCCAGGACCTGATGATATATATGCAGAGGTATTGAAATTGTTAGAAGACAATCAACTTGATATTATGACAGAATTATGGTATATATGAAACAGGAACTTTCTAACCATGTCCATATTTATACTGCTGCCAAAAAAAGCAAAACTAAAAAATGTGAAGAACACCGAATCATTAGCCTCATGAACCACTCACTCAAACTATTCTTAAATATCATCCATGCTTGCATATACAAGAAATTGGAGGAGGGTATTGCTGATGTACAATTTGGATTTCGCAGCGGTCTTGACACAAGAGAAGCACTTTTTAGCATACAAGTATTGATACAACGAGCAAGAGATATTAATACAGATATCTTTGCCTGTTCAATTGACTTCGAAAAGGCATTTGACAAAGTACAGCATGAGAGGGTTATTGAAACTTTGCGAATCGCAAACATCGATGACAAGGATATAAGAATAATAGCCAATCTCTATAGAAACAAGTAGCCAAGATTCGAGTAGACAATTAATTATCCAATGAAGTCCCAATGCAAAGGGGAGTACGACAAGGTTGCATACTCTCGCCTTTGCTGTTTAATGCATACTCTAAACATCTATTTCGAGAAGCTTTGGGAGAAACGACTGATGGCGTGATTGTTAACGGTGAAGAAATCAATAATCTAAGATATACAGTCGACACTGTCCTTGTTGTGGATAGTGCTGAAGAATTACAAAGACTGATAGATCAAGTAGTTAACATCGGTAGAAAATATGGAATGAGACTTAATAATAAGAAGACGAAAATTATGATCGTAAGCAAAAGCCAAGATACAGATGCAAAGTTTATGGCAGACAATGAGGTATTGGATAGAACAGAAAATCTCCGACTCAAAATCCTTAATTGTTATGTTTTCTGTTCTTATGTATGGAGCAGAGGCATGGACACTCACTGATGCGTCTTGCAGACGATTGCAGTCTTTCGAGAAGTCTTGAAATCCAATAAAGAGAGAAAGTTAGCATACTTCGGACATATAGTAAGAAATGAAAATAAATATAGAATCCTACTATTGATATTAGAAGGGAAAATAGAAGGAAATAGAGGACCAGGACGCAGCCGAATATCCTGGCTTAAGAATTTGAGACAGTGGACAGGTATGACCACCACAGACCTATTTCGAACAGCTGCTAATAAAATACTATGGGCCATTGTGGTAGCCAACATAAATAGAGGATAGTCACTAGCAGAAGAAGATTTCTATTTTATTTTTTTCAAAAAATAGACAGCCAATGATTTTGTAGGGATATAACGTAATAAGTCCTTCTTTACAGGGAAAAACTTGTTAAGTCCATGTAGATGAATAAAAAACAATTAATACTATTAATATGTGATATAAGCAAATATAGCAAATTTTTATCTTTTTATTACTGATTAATTGTAAGATGCATTTCAACAATTTTAAAAATGTTCTCCTGAACAAAACAGGAAATGTGACTTATCAAGTTATTTTCCAGTGGTCTTCATCTACATACTTAAATTCGTTGTATAAATGTATTTTTATATTGTTAGGTGGTGTTGGATCCGCAGCAGTCCAAATAGCTAGGACTGTGGAAGGAGTACACATAGTTGGTACTGGATCAGTGATCAAAGAAGAACACGCCATAAAAAACGGCGTTGACACATTTTTATGCAACGATACTTTTTTGGAAGATGTTCAAGAGTACAAATTCGATGTAATACTTTCTAATGAAAGTGGGCCCACTTTTACTTTCTTGCAAAGCCTTTTGAGACCGCTGGGAAGGATTATTTTAATAGGTAGAACTTTTTTAAAACATTTTATGGATAAGTTTTCCATTTTATTTGATTTTTCTACTTTTCCTCACGATCTAAAATGTAATTACTAATTTTACAGTTTTGAGAATTGTTTTTACTTAATTAGATGGCTTTAGTAAAGACTAATTATTCAGACAACACTCAGTTTTGAGGATTAAAATGATTAATATTAAAGCCATCATCATCAATCAGCCAATCGCGTCCACTGCTGGACATAGGCCTCCCTCAGTTCTTTCCAGTGTTCTCTACACTGGGCCGCTTGTGGCCAGTTTCCCGCTACACGTTTAATGTCATCGGTCCATCTAGTCGGTGGTCGTCCTCGGCTTCTTTTATAATTTCTGGGCCTCCATTTCATAATACGTCTTGTCCACCGTCCATCTTGTGTTCTGGCTAAGTGCCCTGCCCAGTTCCACTTAAGCGTCGTGGTTCTTTCGATGACGTCTTGAACTCCTGATCTTCGCCTGATTTGTTGGTTTGTTATGTGGTTTCGAAGGCTCACGTTCAGCATTGCACGTTCCATGGCTCGTTGTGTAACTCTAAGTTTATTCGCAGATTTTTGCGTGAGTGTTAAAGTCTCTGCTCCGTAAGTTTGTACAGGTAAAACACATTGGTTATAAACCTTTCGCTTGAGACACATGGGAATTGAACTTTTTAGAATATGGCTTAATTTGCCAAATGCTGCCCATGTTAGACCTATTCGCCTCTGTATTTCATGTGTTTGATTGTCTCTGCTTATTTTGATTTCGTGTCCCAGATATTTGTAAGTGTCTGTTTGTTGTATGGTATTATTGTCAATAGTTATATTTCCACTCATTACGAGATTTGTTATAATTTTAGTTTTCTTAAAGTTTATCTTTAATCCTTCTCTTTCAGACAGACTTTTAAGCGAATGCATCATAGAAACTGTATCATGTAAGTTATCTGCGATTAATACAACATCATCTGCAAACCTTAGTTGATTTAATCTTTCTCCATCTATATTGATGCCCATATCTTGCCATTGAGTACCCTTAAATATTGACTCTAGAGCTGCCGTGAACAATTTTGGTGAAATATTGTCTCCTTGTCTAACTCCTCGACCTAAGCTGAATTTTTCTGTGTCTTCGTGCAGTCGTATACTTGATGTAGCGTTCTGATAGATGTTTTTGATTAGTGTCGTGTACCTGTAATCTATTCGGCTTTGATTTAGGGCTTCCAGTATTGTTTCAAACTCTACAGAATCAAAAGCCTTCTCGTAATCGACAAATGCAAGAACCAGTGGTATGTTGTACTCGATGCACTTTTCTATTAAGATCTTTATGGTATGCAAATGGTCATTTGTGCCATATCCTGCCCTGAAGCCTGCCTGTTCTTTGGGCTGATAGAAATCAAGTTTAGGTGTTAGCCTCTTTGTTAAGATTTTCATAAAGAGTTTGTACATATGTGTCAAGAGGCTGATGGGTCTATAATTTTCTAATTTAGTAATATCGCCTTTTTTGTGTAACAAGACTATTACTGCATTGTTCCAGTCTTTTGGAATCGTACCCGCATGTAAGCATTTAGTAAACAGTTCGCTTACTGATTTTAATAAAATTTCTCCACCTGCTTTTATTGCCTCGATAACGAGTCCATCATCACCAGGCGATCGATGGTTCTTCATTTCCTTTAAAGCTGCTCTTACTTCTGACACAGTAATGGGTAAAAGTATTTCCGATCCCTGATTTATGAGAGTCTTTACTCGTGTCGGGAAATTGTCTTGTGGTCTTTGGCTGGTATAGAGGTCTTTATAAAATTCTCTAGTTATTTTCAGAATGTTTTGTTTATCTGTTGTTGCCTTTCCGTCTTTATCTCTCAGCTTGTATATTTCTTTTTTACTTTGCGTAAGTTTTCTTTTCATTATCTTTAAACCTTTGTTCTCTTCCACTGTTTGAGTAATTACATTAGTATTATATCTTCTTACATCTTTTCTAATTTCCGCTGAAATTCTTTTATTTAGTTTTTTATATTCTTCTTTGTTTCCCTTTTCGTTCTCGCTTAGGTTTCGTCGTATTTCCATGAGAGCCCTTGTATCTTTGCTAATCTTTTCACTTTTGGTGTCAATTTTCTTGCAAAATTTGAGTTGTGCGTTTCTAACTGAGTCTGTTATTAATTTATTGTGATCGTCGATACTTAGAGGTTTGGGATTATTACTCTGTAAAGTTTCGGCTATATTTCTTATGTATGCTTCTGGATGATTTGGTGAATTCCAAACTATGCGTTCACAACTGTTTATCATCTTTGCTCTTTCTTTTTGTAGATTGATCGTTACTCTAGCTCTTACTGGTCTGTGGTCGCTTCCTACTGATAGTTTATTGAGTACAGTGACATCTTGAATAATTTGCTTTTTGTCTGTTATTATATAATCATATTCGCTCTTAGTTCTTCCGTCCTGACTAGCCCACGTCCATTTTCTATTCTGTTTCTTCTTAAAAAAGGTGTTCATTGCATACAGTTTGTGTTGCAGTAGAAAGTTGGTAAGCATTTCGCCTCTTTCGTTTCTTACTCCGATTCCAAAATCTCCGATTGCCACTTCTTGTTCGTCTTTTTTCCTTCCGAGTTTCCCGTTAAAATCTCCCATTATCAGATTGTAATGAGCCGGTTCCTGCTTTTTTACTCTTTCGATTTCCTCGTAGAAGGCTTCGACAATTTCATCTTCGTAATCGCTGGTGGGGGCGTATACCTGGATTATTTTCAGATTTTATCTCTTATTTAGTCTTAGATTTATATATATAACTCTTGGGGAAATGCAGTCAATGCTCTGTATATTGTTCTATATTAAAGCCATATTTTATAAATATCAATTAAAACATTGTTCTGAAGCTATTTTCTTGTGGCATTGTAAATTAATTACTATTTATAACTGGGAATAAGCCACATTAAAGATAAAAAATACATTTATTGACGTTTCAATTTCCAATTCGGAAATCGTTCTCAAAATACAAATAGTAAATTAAACAAATTTTGTTTTTTGTTACATAGTGAAAAAATTCTTCTGCTAATTTAATTTTATCTGACTCATTTATATTGACAATTCAGACATACATTATGCATTTTAAAGTAGATGTAAATTTTGTTTATAGAATTCATTATTTAGTTGAAAATATGTATTATCAGTACATAATGTTAATAACTCCATTATAGCCGATATGTTTAGTCTTGTTCTAGTTTTTTAAAAAATTTTTAAATTTTGGTCTAGCAATGGGCTCTAGTTTATCTCCATTCTTAGCCGATATATTTATGGAAGATTTTGAAACAAATATCATTTCTAAACAAAATTTCAAACCCACAGTATGGTGGAGGTATGTAGATGATGTATTCTCAATATGGCCTCATGGATCAGAGTTGTTGGACACATTCCTAAACGATATAAACGATAAAGAAGAGACAATAACATTTACCATGGAAAAGGAATATAATAACACGCTACCTTTCCTGGATGTTTTGATCTCTAAGAACGATACTGGATATGAGACTCAGGTGTATAGAAAACCAACACACACCAATAGATATTTAAATTTCAAATCAAATCACAATATTAATGTAAAAAAGGGAATAATTAAATCCTTATACGATAGAGCCAAAATTACTTGTTCTAACGAAAATTCGTTCTTGGTGGAGAAACATTTGTTAACATCTGTTTTATTAAAAAATGATTATCCTTTATCGTTTATAAATAAGGAATTTTCAACAATCGATCGAATAGAACAGAACAACTTAGAACGAGATCCTACAGCATACACAAGGAATAATATGAGGAAAATAACAATACCGTACATAAAAGGATTATCAGAAAAACTTAAAAGGATAGTAAATAAATTCAACATTTCAACAACATTCAAAACAACAGACACGTTGAGATCTATTTTGTCCAAAACCAAACCTAACAATGAACAAGAAAGGACAAAGAATTGCATTTATAAAATACCTTGTGAATGCGATCAGTTTTATTTAGGTGAATCATCAAGGCCATTAAATGTTAGAATAAGTGAACATCAATCTTATATTAAAAATAGAGAATTTGATAGATCTCAAATATGTAAACACGCATGGGATAATGAACATAGAGTTCAATGGAATAATTCAAATATAGTCCTAAAAGAAACGGATGGTAAAAAAAGAAAAATCAAAGAAGCGGCTCTAATTATGCTAAATGAGGCCAATTGTGTCGCAAATTCCTCGGCAGAATGTAGTAGGATCTGGTTACCAATATTGAAAGAGGAAGTTATTAATAAGAAAATACCAGTATTAGTAAGTCAGTAACATATAGAGGATACATCATTTATGTTTTTTAAATAACGTAACATAAAATCAGAATTTTGATGTTTGTTGAAGGTAAACTAAATTCACGAACAAATACTTACAATGTCGGGATAGTATTATGAGGTTTTTTTCCTGGTTTTTCCCTCATAATTTACTATGGAATCACTAACAGGAGAATTTTACTGTCATCATGTCATATGTTTGTCTTTTTAAAGACGAATTACATGCTATGATTTTTTCTGACGGATATTCTCAAGTTAAAGTTGATTTCATGTAATCGAATGAACTATCTTATAAGTAAAGTCGTCCCAGGAGCGCAACTCAACAATATTGGCAATATCATTTTAAAGTCGTCTACTTTAAAATGCATAATGTATGTCTGAATTGTCAATATAAATGAGTCAGATAAAATTAAATTAGCAGAAGAATTTTTTCACTATGTAACAAAAAACAAAATTTGTTTAATTTACTATTTGTATTTTGAGAACGATTTCCGAATTGGAAATTGAAACGTCAATAAATGTATTTTTATCTTTAATGTGGCTTATTCCCAGTTATAAATAGTAATTAATCAATTGAAACGTTGCGTAGCGATTATTTTTAACAAAATTACTAAAATAGTTTCAATTGTTTACCAGGTGCTAACAATGCAGTAACAAACTTACACGAAGTTGCTTCTCCCACCATAGAAGAATCTCCAACTGTCGATCATGATAACGTTCCTTTACTTTCGCTATTGATTAATAACCGAGTTGTGTCTGGATTACATTTGGGTATCCTTCTGGCAACTGATCCAGAGAAGATCGAACATATTCTCGACGTTATCTTCAGCATGATAGAGGATAAACAAATCAGTCCCATCATACATTCTGTTTGGAAAATGTCTGAATTTGTGGAGGCTACCAAACTGCTGGAGGAACGAAAAAACGTCGGAAAAGTTTTAATTAGCATGTTAGAATAAAAATATGTATACATTTTTTACATTATTAAGAAATATTTTATAAAAGACAATATATGCATTTACAAAAATGTTTTATTCTTTTTTTGTCTACTAATTTAGCTACGCGATCAATTGGAAACTGATGTCATAAGCACTTCAGAAATTCAGTAAAGTTGATAAATACTTATCGAGAGCAAATGTTAATTGAGATTATACTTCTCTCTCTTTCGTATAATATACGTACTTACCATCGAGCAATAAGTCAAAAGAGGGAATGTAAAGGTAGTGGGGGTAAACATATTGAGAGACAGGAAGTGCTATTTTGAGAGGCCACTTTAAACAAAGAAAGAGAATCTCTTTCCTTGTTTAAGAAATCAAATTTAGTTGGGTTATGTTATTGTTGATGTTATTGTTTGTCAAAACTGTCACATGAAAGCTTATTTATATTTTCTATTGAAGTTTTTTAACAGTTGTTTAACATTTTAGACTATTATCGTTATTAATTAATTGAAACTTTATTGTGTTCTAGTGTTAAAAAAAGTTTTTTAATAAATAAATAGATAATATACAATATTATGTAATATAAAATAAATAAATAGATAAATTAGAACCCCTACACCACTGTATGATTATTGTCAAGTGTCATGAAATTTAAATTTGGCGCATTTGCATTTCCGGATATGTCCGCCATCAGAGGCCACTTTTTTGGTCTCCTTTTCATAACGATTAGATTCCCTCTTTTGTCTTATTGCTCGATGGTACTTACCAAATCTGTCTGTACGAAATATATGGCGGTTGATGAAAAGTCCCATACCGGCCACGCATGCTAACAACAAGATCTCTTGCAGTTGTTCGATCTGTCTCTCCTCCTCAGTCCTAATTCCTTTTTTGATGTGGTGACCCCATCAGGCCTTTAGAGTTTTTTCACGATATCCCTCCATCCGTCCCTGTCCTGGGCTAGTTGTTCGGCTTCATGTAACCCTTGGTTAATCAATATTTTTGTCTACCCAACGGCTTGGAAATCTTCACCCAGGTCTATTTCCTTCAACTCTACCCTCGATTATCAGTTTTTCCATCATACCTGTTCTAGCAATGTGTCCAAAATACTGCAAATATCTCTGTTGTTTTTTTTAAGTAATCTATACTTTAAGTTTTTCTAATATCGATATAGTGCGATGATTAATCCAGAATATTCTTAACATGTGGAGGTATACCCACATTTTAAAAGCTTCTAGTTCATTTTTATCTGTTTTCTTAAGGTCCACGTTTCGGATACATATGAGTGCCATTACCAGCCTTAGTTTTGTGTGTATTGTTATGCTAGAATTTTTCCAAATTGTTACCAGTTTCATCATAGCTGGCCTAGCAAATCAACCTTCTATATATGTCTCTGTCACACCTTCCGTCATTTGTTATTAGGGATCCCAGATATATGGAACTATTTACTACTTCAAAGAACTCAATTTCTTTAATGTGTTGAAGATTATTCCTACCTCTGTCTACTATCATGATCTTTGTCTTACTCCTATTTAGCTTTATTCCATATGTTTTGCTTTTCTCCTCCAGACATCTCATTATGTCTTCCACCTCTTCTTGATTTGCCGCGATTATTAAAGTGCCATCAGCATATCTCAAGTTACTGATTTTTGACCTCTACTGATATTCCATCCGTCTAGTACCTTTCGCATATATTCGCTGTAGATATTAAACAGAGTTGGCGAGATTATGCATCCCTGCCTCTGTTCTGAAATGATCGGAATGAGTGTTGTTGATTTTTACTGTGCTTTTATTATTTTCATGGAGACTTCTAATTAGGTGAATTAAGTGGTGGGGTGTTCCCATTTCCGCTAGTATGGACCATAGATGCTGCCATTTGACTTTATCGAAGGCCTTTGTGTAATCCACAAAGCACATAAGCATAGGAGTATGGAATTCATTATGTCTGACATTTAGGATGTATTCTCTTGTGCCTTTTCCTGGGACAAACCCCGCATGTTCTTCTAATATCTGAGGCAGTAGAAAAGCGTTTAGTCTTTCATGTATTACATGAAGTAGAACCTTGCTTGCATGGGATTACCATTCTGTAGTTGCTGCAATCTAGCGGAGTTTCTTTTTTGAATATAAGGATGAAAGTGGATATTGTCCAGTCGTTGGGCCACTCTCCGGTTTCTCTCTCTCTCTCTCTCTCTCTCTCTCTAGCGTATTGAAATTCTTAAAAAAAATCAAGTGTCGTGTAATGACTTATTCTCACTACAAAGAGGTCCACACATTAAAAGTTATGATTGGAATAGTACCGTCTGGTTTAATTACATTTATGTTCTGTCTATGGTAGCTGAAGGGGTGCCGGTTTTCAACATCCCTTCAGGGAGAGTCTTGAATGATATCATTGTCTCTTTCAGCGGTTTGCACTTGTTGTAAGTCCAATTGTTCCGCTAGCCTTCGAATGCTCAGTAGAGAAACTCAAATGGACTCTTAAAATGTGCTGTAATCTGGCCTGTCGAATAGGTTGATAAAATAAAATAAAGCACTTGCTTTTTTAGCTAGGACTGTAATGAAACTTAAAAAAGTTCAAGGAATAGAAACTTATATTATAAACAGTGAGTGAATAACTAAAAGTAAGGAACGCGTCCCCTAATTAGAAAATATATACAATTTACCAAACTTCCCAAAACACCATGACGAACTATTCACATTACGGTTTCCCGGTTTATTTTGCGTAACTTGCGAGGAGAAAGACTCTGAAGTAAAAGGTCCGTGTCCTACGAATGTTTCTAATTCACTACCCCTAGCCCCTCTGAAATTACCCATCTTTGCATTTTGAAAGATCGGCGGTCTAAGGTCAAATGGGCGGAGATTAACATTCTAAGAAATAAGTCAATGCAGACTGTCATAAGGAATTTATTTATGTAACCGATGCGGTGTGGAAATATATTTATTTGTTATGAAATAGAATTATCTGGTTGGAGATTATAGTTCTCCAACAGTATAGCCATATCTCAGACAAACCAAAAATATTTATTCAATCAAGATTATTGGACAAATTGACGCTAAATGAAGATGCTATAATGGTAGATAAGGCCATTTTGATAGAAAATGAATGCATTGAAAAGAAAAAAGCATTAATAAGGCCGCCATTTTTAGGAAAAAGAAAACAATTATCAATGCAAGATGCTGTTTGTATTGCTGAAATTACTTCAGCAAGAGTAAACGTTGAAAGAACTATACAAGGGCTAAAAATCTTTAAAATTCTTAAAGCAAGAGTTAATTGATTCCTAGTTAACCTTTCTGCACCAATACTTATAACGCCATAAACCAAAATATACGCCTACCAAAACTTTTAACATGTTTTGTATAAATTCAATACATCAAATGATACTTTGATAATAAGTGTGACTTATCGAATGGAGAAAACACTACAAAATGGCATATTTGTAGTCCGGTAAGTAATATTTTGCTAATTGTACCTATTGTCCATAATACATATGGTTTTTTTTTAAAGTAATATTTTCCTCAATTAAGCATAAATATTTAAGGTCACTTTTAAGACACTTTATTTCTACACAACATTTTCCTGAAACAATTCGATCGACATTTACGGCCAGCCATGGTACATCCTATATGAGATAAGAATTCCCAAATGGTCAACTTTACTTATTCAATTTGTCTAGATGCTGCATCTGCGAAGTGAACTTCTTCTACTCTAATTTCTTTCTTAGTTATTCATTAAGAAACTCTTCTACTGTCTTTCACTTTTATCTTTCAACTAGATAGGCTTTTGTCATTTTACGGAACTTTGGCAAAAATGTTGCAGATTTGAGTTGTAAAGAGAGATGGTTGTATAGTTTTTTTTACCTTAACTTTGGGAAATGTATGAAACCTAAAGATTTTATCTTCATTGTCACTATTGCAACTGCATAGCGCATTTTGAAAAAGGTACAAAACCAGATATACAATGGCAAATAAAAACTTGTTTTACAAAAAAAACTACTATACCTAAAGTATAATAAACGAAACAGTAACTAAACATTTTAAAAAACAGTGTCTTAGAAAGGGAACCTTTTAAGTAAGATAATTATTGTAACACATAACATTTGTTGTAACCTTTTTGTAAATAAAGGTTTTCTATATTTTATTCTTTAATTTTTTTAACCATTTTTAATGCCGTTGGCATTTTAATAGAATGTAAAATAAATAATCCGCATAACAAGAAAAGAAAACCCAAATAGTATATGAAAAATATATAATTATTGTATAGAATAAGATTTTTTTGGTATTTTAAGATTATATTGAGGCCATCGAGCAAAAAGACAAACTTGTCTTTTTGCTTGATGATTGGAGGTGGAAGTGTGCTGTGGCTGTGACCTGTGAGCCTGTGAAGAAGAAGAGAAAGTACAGGGTTCAGGTTAGGTTCGTTGTAATGTAAATTGAATTTTAGATTCAGTAATTTATTATATTAATTTATTATGATGCTTGTTTATATTTCAGTTAAGACTTAACATTTTTTATGCCGATTCAATTTTCTTACCAAAACTGTTTGAAATATTTGAGTATATAATAACAACGCCGTTAAGATTTGTTTGACAACAAAAGTATAACCTTATAAAATGATAACTGTTTAAATCTAAACAAAAATGGATTTCAAAATAATAAGCAGTCATGGAATGTCATTAAAAATTAGAAGTAGTTTAGTAGGAGGAACATGCTTAAACCAAGAAGTACGCTTGTTCGATTTTGGAAATGTTGTAGTACGAAAGGATTATATGGAAGATGAGGGCGTTCGTGTTTTATCAGGAGGCCCATATTACATTGGAGATTTCGTTGGAAAAGGAATGCTTACAGCAGCCATTCAAGGTACTTTTATTTCATTCTAATCATATATCTTCTTAGCCGACATGGCCAGGTCTTTGACAAGTTTCTTTGGTAGTATGTGCTGGTAGGATTAGGCTAGGCTTTTCCTACAGTGAATAATTGTTTTCTGAATGTTGGTATACTTACCTAATTGTTGCTAAACTGAAAATTCTAATAACCATTAGATCATTAAAAGAACAAACTTATTAACTTGTTTTATAATCAAGTTTAAAAATTCAGGTGGATAATTGATGACATCATCTTGGTTAGTAGCTGAATCAACTGATTTATATATCCTCAATTCGCGTGTAATTTGTTCTTGAATTTAGAAATTTAATTCATTTACATCTATGTTTTTTGCAGCCAATATAGCCTGTTTTGCTCAACCAATCATGGTTTCTGTAATTTTGAGCAAAATCTGGAAACACCTTTTGAATAAGTTCATCTTTTGATTGAGTTAACTGACAAAAACTTTAAGGAAAGTTAATGCAACCAGTTAAGGTGTCTATAGAAAATTTGCCATTACTAATGTCAATGAGTTGTTTAGAGAATATGTCTCCAGATTGGTCATTTTGCAACTCAACACGCATATTCTTGTTCAAGTTTAATACCTTGACATCTTTCCACAAATTAGAGGACTTTAAACATGTATTGAGTTCATCAGTTGGCGTTAATTGTGGAATCACTAGCAATGTTTGACAAAAATCTCCAGCTAATAAAATCATTGCACCACCAAATGGATTATGATTGCTCCTTAGATCTTGTAAGGTTTTATCTAAAGCCTCCAAACATTTTTTTATGTGCCATCGTACATTCATCCCAAACAATCAATTCATATTGCTGCAAAAGCTTTGCAGAGTTACTTCCCCTTATAGAAGGTATATTGAATATACTTAATAATTATTAATCACAGTTATTAAAACACTTTACACAAAACACGATATAAAACAATAAATTAAAAATAAATCAAAGAAAACTGGAGAATTTAATTCGTTTATCAAGTTGACAAATGAAAACTGAGTAGATAAGGTAACAGAAAATCCAAGAAAAACAATACACCAGCAAATTAACAGGTTGTTGTTGTCTGTGAAATTTCAACATTGTGAAAAAGAATATAATCAAAGAGGATATACTTAACACTACATTTTAGTTTTTTTTTTAACTTTTTTTTAATTTGATATGAGTTGGAATCAAGTCCTTTAAGCCCAAACAATGGTGTATGTGTATAGAGTATATTATATAGTATATAATAGCTACAATAGTATATTCTTATCTATTTAATTTTTAGGAGACAATTTCACAGCTCCAACTTCCAATCTAATTTTACGTACATTGAGGGAGTTGTCATATAATCACATTATGGGCACTCTTGTGATTATACCTGCTTCATCAGGATGTACATTAAATTTTGGTCTTGCTATAGAAAGAGCTATTAATGATGAATTGGCAGTAAAGATGTTGACTGTTTCTGACGATTTATTTAATGACAAACACCAACAAATATCCCAAAGAACTTTAAGCGCCATTATTTTACTATATAAGATAGCTGGGGCAATGTCTGCTGCCAAAAAATCTCTTATAGAAATATATGAGTATTGTCAGAAAATGTGTCAGCAAGTACAAAGCATGGAAGTGAATTTACCCAACCCATATGTGACACCAAATTCCACATGTATGTGTATTGATGGTACATTTAGTAGTATTAAGGCAACACTGTCACAAATGGATCATACAGTAGCAACTATTAAGGTTAGATCATATATTTGGTAAGGCATGCACACAAACTTTTTTAAGACATGTTTGATTATTGTAGATCTTTGAAATTTTATTATATTTTATAGGTACCTTTGGCTACCATGATCCACATAATACAAGACACTAACAGTTTCAGAATTGACCCCTCAAAAGTTGTTGATACAGCAAGGTTAACACTCTGCAGTGGCGATAATCTGGTGATCTTATTAAATAACAATGCAGTAATCACTACAACTGAACAAAATATTTGTGTTAAAGATGTGCTGGATTATTTAACAGCTTTTAATATCAATGTAGTAAGATTTTATGTTGGAAATTTTATTAAATGTTCTGATAATCCATCATTAACAATAACTTTGTTGAAAGTGGATGATAGCAGTGTGTTGACCTATTTGGATGCTAACTACGGCAATGTTCCAGGCAAGTATATTTTGGTCTTGTAAAAACAAATTTATTTTATTTATTATGAGGTGTTATTTTACACAAGATGTTACCCATGAAGTTATTTCATTGAATATCAGAGTTAGATTGTAGAATCAATTGTTTGACAATTCATATCAGTTTCTAATATGGAAGTGAATCCCAGATACCATAATTGTATATCATATTTCTCTTTTTGTCTTCTTCCTAGTGCATTCTTTAATGTCTTTTACTTGAATATTATACTGTAGCAGATCGTTAACAATCTCCAAAATTACACAATCAGCACTAACCTCTTCCTTTAATTGTGTACCCATAAATTTAATATTGCGTGAGATTCTGTCACATTCTAAATCATTTATTTTTTCTTCGATTATTTTGACTTTGGATTTTAGCTGCATATTTTCATTTTTTTAATGCTTTCATTTCAGCAAGGAAAGTTCAATTTTCAGAAATTAGTTGATCAAATTTTTCTAGCATAAAGTCAACAGATTCTTGAAAATTTTATACAAATAGCTTCTTCTTCTTGGAGTGCCGTCTCCCTACAGAGGTTAGCAATTATAGTTGGTATTTTTATTTTTGAACTTGCTCCTCTAAACAAATCAATCGATCTGCATTGATACCAATCACATAGATTCTTCAACCATGAGTTCTGCCTTCGGCCAACAGATCTTCTTTCTTGAATCTTTTCCTGTATTATGAATCTGAAAATTTCATATTTTGGTCCCCTCATCACTTGGCCTAGGTATTCCAGTTTTCTGGTTTGTATAGTGGTGATTAGTTCTGTTTCTTTACCAACCCTCTCCATAAATCGCTGTAATGAATACCATAACCTCGCTTTGTTTACAATTTGAACATCAGATAACATTATTGGTTATTTGACATGTCCTTTTAACACAGCTTTTATGGAAAGCACTTTTCTTGCAAATATTATATAATATAGCTTTTAATATTGATTTACTGCAATAATCATACACTAAAGTTGTCTTCCTCCAAAGTCTTCTTCTTTTTTGCATTATTATCATAACTATTAAAAAAATAATAAATGAACAATTAAACGTTTGAATTTGTTATATACTTTAACTTGTCCCATTATATAGTGGTTAGAGCTCGTATAGCAAATAAATATATATTCTTATTTGTAGGGTGGAGGGCTGTAAATCAAAGTATTGGACCTTCACTGACAACAGCAGTATCAATACCAGGTAACTTAAGAAGAAAAGAGCGAATTACACCACCCATTAGAGGACCGAAACTTAGTGATGAAGCTTCAAACATTATGTACTTTGCTATGCAATTTGCCTGTGATGCTTTAATTTCATGTGAGAAGCAGCTCAATGTTATTGACTCCGAGAAAGGTTAGCGTTAAAAGACCCTTAATTTATATTTATACCATCCGATTTACAAGTATATTTAAGCCTTAATTAACTTAAATTATTTTTTTTGACAAAACATTTTTTTAATACTAAAAAACTGATTTGTTTAAATGTAATGAGAGTATATGGGAAAATCATAAATTGTTACCTATACTCATTTTTTTCTTTGCAGGAGATGGAGATACTGGAACACGAATGAAAACGGTGGCAGAGCTTTTAATCAAACGAATGCGTCAAGACAAAGTCATTCTTAATTACCCTTTTACTTTTTTCGAAACAATGAGCAGATTTCTGGAAAAAAGTCTGGGAGGTACTAGTGGCTGCATATACAGTATTCTTTTTGAAGCCGCGGCCAAAAGATTCGCTGGTTTTAAGGATTCGTTAGATGTTACTACGGATATGTGGCTCGAATCTTTCAAGGCTGCTGCTGATGCATTGCAGAAATACGGAAATACGAGATTCGGAGAAGGGACACTCTACGATCCTATTTACATCTTTTGTGTGACCGCCAAAGAAGAGTTGGGGAACGGCGCTGATATTTTAATAGCTGTTGAAAAAGCAGTACGCAAGTCCGAAGAGGCTATCAGTATGACAAAGAGAGATAAAAAGTATCCCGATCCTGGAGCTCATGCAGTGGGTATATGGATTCGCGCAATATTTGAAGGAGTAAAATTGAGATGGCCAGTAGATGTAGCTTGTATGTAAAAAGGAAAGACTGAATAAATGTTTTTATATAAATGCCTTAATATGTTGAAGTGAATACTTCTTATCATTCGGTATGATGTTTTTGTATGGGCCAGAAATCATATTTAGCATGACTCGAAATATCGAGACAGTGCAGTAACTTTGCGGTATACAGTAATATACAAATGAGGGGTCTAACTGCAAAATTCACATTCTCCGTTTTTGTGAATTTTAGCAAATTGCAAAAAAACTGTAAAAACTATGTTTTAAGCCTAGTTTGTAAATTATTTTTTTATATTTCGGCTGCTTTTGGTCTCTTTAAGTATCCTGCTCAATTGTAAAACCAATAAAATCACTATAAATATGTATTTTTTAATATTTAACTCTGGATAATGTGAGTTTTGAGCTAAAAAAGTGAGCTACACCATCAGTTTTTAGGATTCTACCTTAGATTTTTGGATTGAAATATTCCAAATCAATTAAAATTCAGAAAAGTCATATCGTCGGCTGTATGCAATACTGGCACAATACAAAAACTTCTAATTTTTCAAAGCAGGGGTTTAAAGTTTGTGTGCCAATAATTTTTGTTTTATGTATTTGTTTTACTACATGGATTGGGATTAAAAACAAAGTAAATGTTGGTTTATTTGGGAGAGCGTTAGGTAGCTTTTAATTAATTGTAACACAGACTTAATTCAACCCTTATTTTGAGTTTTGCCATTATTGCACATCAACATTTTGTCTTTCAAGACTAATTAAGGCAAAGACAAAACTGGCATTTTTTGATTATTCCTATCAACTGAAATAAAGTTTCAATAAAGAATATTACAAGTTACTTGAATGAGAAAATGTGTTTATTAACAACTATAAGAATAACAAAATATATATATTGATAAAAATAGGAAAAATTATGAATAACAATGCTTTAAATGTCGGTAGAAATCAACGTGAATTGATGGAACACTCTTGCCTTTTCAGAGGCTAATAAGGTCTTTTTTCTTCTTTTCAGTTAATGACAGGCTGTCAGTGAAGTCCTTTTCTAGTTCTATAATATCCATGATTTCTAAACCTTTCCTTTTTTTTTAGTGGTATCAACTGATCTGTACTTTTCTTATGCAAATGAAATTTTAAAATAGTAGTGAGTGCCAGAGCTGTTTTCTGAACGGCAATATTGTAAATGTCAGAATAAATTGTTCCTGCAAGTTGACAAACACGTTTTTCATTCTGTTAAAGTTTTTAATTAATTTATTCGGGTTTATTCAACAAGAAGTTCATAACCAGCGCAAGTATACAGTCCAACCTTCATGGTTTGGTTCTTCACAGGATTTGGTTATTAACAAGAAAAATATAATTCATAATTTCAAGTAATCAAATTAAATTTGGCTCGAAGGATCAAACCATGAAGGAATTAAAGGAGATGGACGGGAAGTCATTTGAAAATTGGCTCCAAGATTTTACCAACAAAAATGCCGTAATTGTAATGGACGACCCTAACCATTCCAGAAAATTGGAAAAAATTTCCATTATGGCTACAAAAAAGGCGGATATTCAAAATTGCCTTTGCTCAAAAAACATTCCCTCTGAATAGACGCTGTTAAAAGTGCAACTTTCGTCAAATAACATATTAAGTTGCCACCGTACCACTGCGAACTCAATCCAGCAATAGAGCTGGTATAGGCGCAAAATCGTAACGACGGTAAAAGAAATCTGTGAGAAATTTACAAGGCAGGTCAAAGCCAAAAAAGCAGGCTTGGATGACAGATGATATACTGGATTTAATGGAACAACGGCGACTAGCAAAAACCAACGAAACACTTTACAATAGCATACAAAAAGAAATTCGACGCAAAATAAGAGAAGCTAGCTAAGAGACATCTAGCTAAACAGTGTCATGACATTGAAGAACTCGAAAAAAGATACGACACGTTTAACATGTATAAAAAAGTAAAAGAAGCGGCTGGTATCTTCAATAAGAAACAAAATGCATTGCTACAGGATGAAAATGGTAAAGTAATATTCGAAGTAGAGGACAAACTTAAAGAATTGGAAAATTACGTCACGAACCTATTCGAAGACGATATGAGTAGTTCACCTCCCGATATTACTAACTGCGACGGACCCCTAATAACACGCTGTGAGGTTATAAAGGCCATACAATCATCAAAAGATGGCAGAGCGACTGGTCCTGATGAAATTCCAACTGAAATATATAAGCTTATAAAGGATAGCAATGTTTTACAGGCTATAACTTCGTTTTTCAATACCATTTATACCAGCGGAGAACTACCTAATGGTTGGTCTAACTCACTGTTTATAGCTCTACCTAAGAAGACAACAGCAAAAACCTGTGCTGATTATAGAACCATCAGTTTGTTAAACCACTTATTGAAAATTTTTCTGAAGGTAATACATGGTCGTATCTACAATAAATGTGAGGAATACCTGGATGACACTCAGTTTGGTTTCCGTAACGGATTTGGAACGAGAGAGGCACTGTTTGGAATGAACGTACTTGCTCAAAGATGTCGTGATATATCTGTAGACATATACTGTTGTTTTATTGACTTTCAAAAGGCATTTGATCGTGTTAAGCACTCTATATTGATCGAAGCTCTAAAAGACATTGGCTTGGACGGCAGAGATGTTCGAATAATTGCAAATTTATATTGGAATCAAACAACATCAGTTTTAGTAGATGGTGTGGAATCACAAGCTCTCAATATTAAAAGAGGAGTACGGCAGGGATGCCTCTTGTCACCCCTGCTTTTTAACGTTTACTCCGAAAGAATTTTCAGAAAAGCACTTTCTGAAAAACAAGAAGGAATACTTGTGAACGGCGAAGTCATCAATAATTTGCGATATGCGGACGATACAGTACTCCTAGCTTATAGTCAAGAAGATCTGCAAACACTACTTGATAGTGTCGTTGAGAGTTGTAGGGAGGCAGGTCTGGATCTTAACATAAGGAAAACCAAAATACTTGTAATAAGTAAACAACAGAATATAAAACCATCTATATATGTAAATAATACCAAACTTGAGCAAGTTGATAAAATCGTCTACCTTGGACAGCAATTAAATTGTAATGCAGAAAATCACGGCGAAATTAGATCCAGAATAGAGCAGGCTAGAGCTGCTTTTAGAAGGATGTCCAAGGTGTTATGTAACAGAGACCTAAAATTGGCATTAAGGATCCACCTACTTCGCTGCTACGTGTTCTCGGTCTTACTTTATGCTGTCGAGTCCTGGACTGTGAATAAAATCGATCTAAATCGCCTTGAGGCTTTCGAAATGTGGTGCTATAGAAGAATTTTAAAAGTTTCCTGGGTGGAGAAGATTCGTAACTCCACAATACTTGAGCGTCTCAGCAAGACCACTGAGATCATAAAAAGCATCAAGCAGAGAAAGCTGGAATATTTCGGACATGTAATGAGAGGTCCCAAATATAGATTGCTACAAAATATCATGCAAGGAAAAATATCAGGCAAACGCAGTCCAGGACGAAGAAGAACCTCATGGTTGAAGAACTTGCGAGATTGGTATGGTGTAGATACAAGCATGCTATTTAGGGTGGCAGTGAATAAAATTAAAATAGCTATGATGGTAACCAACGTTCTGAAAGGACATGGTACATGAAGAAGAAGAATAGGCGCAAGTCAAGAATTATGTTGACAAAATTTTATAAAAATTTCATGAAGCTATATCTGCCGTAACCATGGAAAAATTGCGTTAGACTTTTCTAACTAGCGTTAGAAAAGAAGCAGAACCAAAAATGTGAGAGTTGGACAATTTAATTGAAGCCCAAATTGAGCCACTCATTAACATCTTAGACCGTTAACACTTATTGTCACCTCGGGGTAAATGAAAAGGTAAGCACCTTCTGTACCACCGTGTGCTATGTAGAGGACTTCGGAAACGTCGACGAAAGCCCCTCTACTTGAATCCATTTGCGGGGTATGGATTCGTAAAAGGTTTTCTTCTGATGAGCTCGTCTTGAAAAAGACGAGCTCATTTCTTACATGACTTATAAGTCGAAATAAACATCAGGATGCAGTCTATGGTGGCTTGCCTTGACAAAGGCAAGATATTTCTTACACGACTAAATAGTCGAAATAAAACACTAAGTTTAAAGTTGAATAAAAATCTCAGCCACAGAGTATAGGGTAGGCTAAAAGAAAAAGCAGAGCCCCGAGAGCACTAAGCTCTCGGAGAGCCCGTGAAGGACTGACTTGATTGACCTGAAAATCGCCTATTTTTATACTTTCTGAAGTAGCGATTAGGGATTTCCAGGTCAGGGAGGGGCCAACGGAAAAAATAAGGGGCGGGGCGATGCGTCTCGAACGTGAACTAGTCGCGTCCGAGAACATCCCCCCTCCTCTGGAGACTCTGTGGCTGGGAAGGAAATTTATTGAATTATTAAAAAATTACAATAAAAAAATACAATACAAAATACATGTGGAATACATGAAAAGAAAATACATGAAAATGTAAAAAGTAATAAGTTCATAAAATCAAATTGTCTTTGAAACTCACAGCACACTGCAGTAAAGGGGAAGGTCGGTGGCGATGACGGCATCTCCGGCTCCTGCAGCTCCATTCTCGATCGGTGTGTCGACTCCTTCAACGGCTTCGTCTTCTCCTCGGACGTCCGGATCCCATCTGCCATATCTAACGGGGTTTCGCAGAGTACCAGGGTGCCGAAGCCTACGTGGTCGTCTAACCACTTTCGGTAGGGGGGCGATGACTGGGTCTGCTCCGGGACTTCCGTTGGCATCTGGGGCTTCTGACTTCGAAGAAGGATGGCTCGTCAAAGTCGCCAGCACGTCGAAGGCATCCGGTCTGCAGGAGGCCTCGATGTCGGAGTGTCAGATAGCATTCTAACACTCCGTGGTTCTCCCCGTTCTTCTCTTGACTTCAACCCATGTTGAAGTCAATGGTTGTAGCCTTCTGCTGTGAGTCAAGCTGGGTCGTGGGTGCGGATTTTAACCACGTTGTCGGGCGCCATGTCACCTCGGGGTAAATGAAAAGGTAAGCACCTTCTGTACCACCGTGT